GTTAGCTTCTTTCTCTCAAGTGAGCTGGAGAAATGCAGACATCTCTTTCTCTCTCTCTTGAGACATGTCTCAGCTGGATTGTAGCTCCTGAATTTAAATGTCTGCCTTAAAGGATGGCCTAGCAAAAAGAAGAGAAGAATTTTCTAAACTGACCACACTCCTCAGCTTCTGCCAAATTAGTACCATGTGCACCAGGATTTCCATGTTGTGTCACCCACTTCAGCCATCATCCAACAACCTGAGACGGAATATGAGAAAGAGAGTGGCTGAGCATCATCTTAGAGAAGCACTTCATAACTTACAGATCATCCAAAGTAAGCTTCTAAGAGAAACTGCTTAACTTAGAAGTATCCCTATGTTAACATGATCCCTAAACATGGCTTTGGTTTGTAAGTCCTACTGTTTCAATTATGACACCAATCCCAGGCTAAGTAGTCCCTACAGCCTCCATCAGGGTCCTACAAGTGAGTAGTCACTGCTGAACAAAACGAAAATATTTCCATTTGAACTGCCGGGGTGCCAACACTTTGCAACTCCAATTATTTCAACATATTCTTTCTTGTTGTTAGCAAATGCTCTTGCTTTGTTATCAAGAGCTTCTTACAAACTGTTCTCAATCCTTTTTTTTTTTCTCCCTCTGTGCTCGACTAAGCAGTAGAGCATTCTCTAAGATCTAGTGCTCTCCAGTGGGAGCTCTTTCTCATGAATGGATTTAAAGCTGTCATTCTCCAAAGTTATATATGCTACATCCTAACCTCTGCTTTACGAATCAACTGTGTAAATGGTTGTATGTCTAATTCTTCCGAGCAGGGTAAGTAAAGACTGTCCAGGCAGAGGTCTGAAACTCACTTTCTGTACAAGGAAACTCTTTCTTGAGCAGGAAGTACAATGTCCAACCACTTTCTACCTGGCTTGGCTCCAAGCACATGATGAATTGCAAAAATATAACATACAGAGGGAATATTTATGTGTCATCCCTCTTCATCAGATACACAGTATTTTTTTCCCATGTCACAAACACTGTAACCACAATTTACAAGTACATACACAATCAAACTTCTATTGATTTAATGATGCATTTCTTTGATGTCCCTTGCCTTAACCTCATTTATAAAGCTGTTTTGCATTATTTCAAACTGTCAATGATTTGTGACTCATGAATATTCAAATCCAATTTGCACTTACCTTTTTGGTATGCATGCTTCCTTTCAATATGTCCCTACATGTGCCCTTTTGTTTTGTACTTATTTGTAGAGTGTTTTATTGTAATAATACAATTTTAAAGCATGGTAAGTCTATTTAAAAAACAACAGGAGTGGTTGATGAGTGACTCTTCTTGGTCCCAGCCTACTGTCTCTACATTGCCACTTAGAAAGTCCGTTCATTCCAACAACCTGTCTTTGGTATTAAAAATAGCACACACTTGTTGGTTGATGTCAACTTCAGGGGGAGGGGCTTTAGTTTTGCTGGACTATACATCTCTAAGAAAGAGTCCAAGAATTTGTAGATGAGCCTGAGCATTACACAAAAGAAAGAAAGGATTATTTCTGTTGAAAAAAACAAAACAAAACAAAACAAAACGTTCCAGCAGAATGGAGCTCTTCATGTCAGTGTGGATGAACTTCTCCACTTACACTGTGGAATGCATTGAAAAGGGACCTAAGAGGACCACAAAACCCTTTTAAAAGCTTCAGCCAGTGATAGCTGGAGGAGACACCCAGGACTTTGTGGATCGCAGGCTTGTCAGTGATGATTGAAGCTCCTCAACAGGAACACTGGAGCCACCTGCCTAAGCAACAAGCAGCTTCTTCTTGCAAAACCTGTTTGAGGACAAATTGAAAAGTGTTATATGAATAAAAAAAATTGGAGTGGAGAACACCTCTTTCATAACTGATTTCTGGACCCAATTGCAATTTCTAAGAAAATCCAAGCAACTAAATATGCTGCACTGCCAATATATATATGAATCTCTTTTATGCCAGTAGCTAAAATAGTAAGCTAATAGGTTTCCAGTGCAGTGGCTGTGTGTGTGTGTGTGTGTGTGTGTGTGTGTGTGTGTGTGTGTGTGTGGTCAGAGGACAACCTCAGATGCCAGTCTTCATCTTGTAGCTCGTTTCTCTGGCTGTTTCACGGCTGCCAAGTGAGTTGCTGGGAATTGCCCCGTTCCCCTCTCTTCTTGCCTTAGGAACACTGGGATGAGAGATGTGCAACTGTGTCAGGCTGTATCTGGGCTCTGGGGGTCTGAACTTGGGTCTTTAGGCTTTGGAAGCAAGTGCTTCCCCCTCTGAGGCATCTCTCCAGCTCTCATATTTAACCTGCAAGGAAGTGATGAGTCACCTTTTGACTTCCACTGCACACTTTCATTGCAGATATTCACACATCTCAGCTGATCTGGAGTAGCCAAGGACACGTTCACATTTGACAAATCTCTCACTGTTCTTCAACTATAAATATTTTCTAGGTAAAGTTGCATCATTCCAAACGTTGCTAAACTTTTCTGTAATCATTTCAAGATTTCCTTTATTGTTAATTGTGTGTGTGTGTGTGTGTGTGTGTGTGTGTGTGTGTGTGTGTGTGTGTGGACATGTATGTACGGGTGCTGACAGAAGCCAGAAGAGAGCATGAGATCCTTGGAACAGGAGTTATAGGTGGTCGTGAGTCTGATGTGGGTGCTGGAGACTGAACTCAAGTCCTTGGCAAGGGTAGCATGTACTCTAAAGTGCTGAACATCTCTCCAGCCCCTCATTTTTGTTTTATTGCAAGGAAACATTTTGCTGTTGTGGTATTTTCTTCCCATTTATACAAGTGCCCTTTGTCTAAAAGTGTTCATGATGTTTCCTCGACTTGATCACTTTCTTGTGTGATTGTTGATAGCAGTATTACTCCCCCAACCTTGAAAACCAAACATCGTAGATCCATCCTGTTACCTTAAGCCGCCTTAAAGTCTGCTGTCATTGTGCCTGTGACTCAATGACTCATTATATGCAGCCTGATTTCTGACCTACAAATGTGAACGTTCCTTCCTGGCAGAAGAAGACTTCTAAAGACAGGGATTCTAACATTATGCTCCCTCGTTCTAGGATACTGCATACAAACTTGACGTGTAAATCCGGAGTGAGGCTCTCACCTGGAAAGGCTGAATCTTAGGGTCTGGGGAACAGGGAACCTCCCTTACATTGTTATGAAAATCAACTGGGATTATTCAAATGCAAGATTTAGCATACTGACTGGCACCTGATCCACATTCACCACAGAACAGCTGTCCCATAGTTTAATTTTTACCAGAAATTGTGTCCAGTCTCTAGTTAATTGTATCTTAGAACGAGCAAAATTTGTCCTGTCAAAAATCTAACCCATGCCTCTGCTGTGCTTCTATAATACAATTAAAATGTACACCTTTCCAGAGCTAGGACCTCCCACCAAATGTCGCTTTGCTTCTAACTCTGCTGAAGCCTTCCACAAAATCAAGGGAATGAGCTGTGAGGGGAGTTTGCTCTCTCTATCCCTCTGTGTCTCTATCTGTCTCTGTATCTCTCTGTGTCTCCCATCTCTCTCTCATTCTCTTTGTCTCTCTGTCTCTCTCTCTCTCGTTCTCTCTCTCTCTGTCTCTCTCACTCTATTATTTATCATCTATTTAGCTCCCTATCTCTATCTCTCACTCTTTCTCTAGCTCCATCTCTCTTCTCTCTCCCTGTCCCTCTCTAACTCTATCACTTGCCATCTATCTATCTATCTATCTATCTATCTATCTATCTATCTATCTATCTATCATCTCTCTCTTTCTCTCTCTCTCACTCTATCCCTCTGTGTGTGGGTTGAGGGGGTTCCTGTCTGTCTGTCTGTCCCTGTCTCTCTTTGCACCCCCACCCCCATGACCCCCTCTCTGTCTATCACAATAGCATCTCCACTGCAGCATCCAGAGGAAGAGAAACATTCTTTGTCCTGTGCAATTGCTGGAAAGTGGAAGCCTTAGAACTGCTGTAGCCATCTGTCTTCCAACCTAAGGAAAAAGCTGATACGTGGAAGAGGTCAATGTCAAGAGAAGGGACAGGAAGGACAGCACCTGCCTCAGCCCTTGCCAATGAATAACTCTGTGTGTGTGTGTGTGTGTGTGTGTGTGTGTGTGTGTGTGTGTGTGTGTGTGTGTGTGTTATGGCTTAAGGAAATTGGGATTTTCTGTTTCTTGAAGCCAAAAAACATTTTAAGTGGTTTAAGGAGGCAAGCTGAAGAGTGTCCAGTGCCTGAGTTTCCATGCATGTGTAAAGAGGGAGCATGTCCTTCAGCTTCTTCTGTGAGCATCTCTCCAGCCACATCTCCATGATGCACATGTCTTTCTGGAAATAGATGTGATATTCAGAGCTAAACCTTCAAGATCTCTGCAGCCTCCTAACAGCTCACAGGACTCAAGTGTCCTACTTGTCTTTGCAGAGGTGGAATTTAAAGTAAAGTGTGAATTCACAGCCACCTGTTGGATGCTCTGTCAGCTGGTCTTGGACCACAGGCTGCCGGCCCTTAACATTGCTCATGTTCCATAAATTTTCTTGATCTTCTTGAAATTACAAATGCAAAGTGGAATGACACCACTCAGTCATCAGTGAAGCGATTTTTCAGTTGTCATTGTCTCGGGGATTCCTGTTCCTATTTCCAGCTGCTGAATGTAATCAGCTATATGTAATTTTAAAATATGTTAAGGTCCTCTAATTTAATCCTTCATCTATATAATAAGAGCAAACAAAGATTGCTTTAGATTTTAGAAGGCTAGATAATGTGATGGATGATCAAAATAAGAAATACTCAACTAAAGTCTGACAATGAACATTTTGGTAGAGCTGAATCAGTTTGTGTTTTCTCTACCCTGTGAGCCCCAAGCTATTCATGATTTAATCTTATCCAGAGCTCTCAGAATTACAGAGACAGGATGCCTTTGAACAGTCAGTAAAGGGGAGACCAGGTAGTTCTCTATTGTCTAAAATACATAGAACCCTAGGTCTGGAGACATTCTTTGATAGTATCTAAGGGGCCAGCCACAGATAATTCCAGAGCCTTGCCTAGGGTCATACCACAAGAAGTAAGTCATCTGACCCCCAGGCCACCACGATTTTCCTTTCAGCACCCACTTCTGAGGTATAATAGCTCTTGGAGTTTGCATGAATGAATACATTACAAAATTTAATGATTGGGGTAGATTGTTGATGCTTAGTTTATCTCTATGAGAAATTACCCATGACATATAGCTCAGCTTTATGGTTTGGCTTGTTCATGTTTTTGGTTTTGTTTTTAACTCTTTTAAAGTATAAAAAGTGAAACCACTGGCCATTCTTTTATTTTATTTTATTTTATTTTATTATATTATTTTATATGTCAACCCAGTTCCCCCTCCCTCCCCTTCTCCCTGCCCCCACCTCCCCCACATCTTACCCCTCATCTACTCCTCAGAGGGGGAAGGCGTCCTTTGGGTAGTCAACAAAGTCTGGCATACCAAGTTGAGACAGGCTGGCCATTCTTATAAACAGAATCCTACTAGCCACAAAATATTAGGGTGAAAAATAGAGTGTATATGTACACACAACATACATTTAATACATATGGTATTAGTAGACTAATATGCTTCAGTATGAAAGGATTTAAAAATAAGAAATGAAGAAATTCATATTAAAATGACTTGTGTGTTAGAACATAACTAAAAAAGAAAAATAGATGTGAGTCGAGTTGTTAGTTAATGATTCTTAAGAAAACTGAAAAAGTGATTAAGAATATTTCTTTGGCAAGGCCGTGGTGGCACTCCCCTTTAATCTCAACATTCGTGAGGCAGGCAGATTTCTGTGAGTTCAAGCCCAGTCTGATCTACAAAGCGAGTTCCAGAATAGCCAGAGCTGTTACCCAGAGAAACCAGATCTTGAAAGAGGGGAGAAAAATGTTTCTTTACAAGTATCTCAGTATTATTTTGGAAATGAACACTGTCATATTTTTAAGAAACCAATCACTTTAATCAGATACACTTTTGTCTGAGAACAAACTGGAAAGAAATCTTCCTTATGTATAATTCTTTGTGTGAGGATAACAAAATCCGTTTACCAAAATTAGGCAAAGATGATTTTTTTAAATGTTAAAGGAAAAACTAGCTCTTTTCTTCCAGCAGCAGAGATTCAAACCTCAGAAGCCAAATACTATCAACCAAGCATAGGTATGCAATGCAGCCCCGTGCTCATGCATAGGTGCAGCCCAGTACAGAGGTGCAGTCTAACAGTGAACAGATCGCAAGTGCAATATCACGTGGTGAGAGCAGAAAAATAACTTACTGCATAAAGAAAAACAAACCAACAATGCTTAACATTCATTTAAAACATTGAGGTCTTAGTAAATTAGGCACCAAGTGGGGGTGAAATCCCTCAGTCTGATTAAGATGCTTATCGGTTAGCTACAGTAAATGGTATTTGTAATGGAGAAACGGAAGGAATGAGATAATGATGTGTTCTGTGTAGGAATGTCTCTCTTCAGCCATGTCCTGGAGATCTGATCCTAGATAAAGCAATAAGAAAAAGAGGAGGTGGGGGGTCTGGGGGAAGGGGTGAAGAAATAAAAGATATAAGAAAAGAAGTAGGAAAGAAAGGAAGGAAAGAAGAAAGAAAGAAAGAGAGAGAGAGAGAAAGAGAGAAAGAAAAGAAAAAGTTGTCATTTTCTGTAGACAATAATTATCTGCACAAATTGGAAACCCAAGGAGAAAAATTTACAGAAAAACTGATATCAGAGAGATAACTGAAAGATCGCTGAGGAAACAATGGAGTCAGCATGTTGAAGAAGATTCTTACCACACTTTTATACATAAAAAGAAATTCCCTGTTGGTAATGGGTTAAGTCACATGAAAACAAAAAGCACTTAGGAATTAAATAATTTCACAGAAAAGCTATCTTTATAACCTCAGAAGACAAAACAAATCTTTTACATAAGATAGAACAGCATAAGCCATAAGGGAATATATAGATATATTAATCTGTAGTAAAACTTAAAGGTTAAATTCATCAAAGCACTTTTTAAAAAAGAACCACAAAGTGGAAGAAGATTTTTTTTTCAAGACAGGGTTTTTCTGTGAAACAGTTCTGGAACTCACTCTGTAGACCAGGCTGGTCTCAAACTCACAGAGATCCTCCTGCCTCTGCCTCCCGAGTGTTAGGATTAAAGGTGTGTGCTACCACTGCCCGGCTTGGAAGAAGTTATTTTTTACATGGAATTTATAAAACTGATAATAAAAAGAAGATTCGGTGAGAAAAATGGGAGAAATGCACAGTTAGACCTCTTCCAGAGGAGCAAAGATGAACGTATTTATGGCTTAGAAAATGAGTGTTAAAAACTATGATGAGATCCTCTCTCTCGCTGGGAAAACAGAAGAAAAAGGAGGGGACACAGATGAAGCTGAAGGAAGAGAAGAAACAAGTATTAAAGAGGAAGATGTGAGCAGATATGATGCAGATTATTATATTATGTGATTATGATATATATATATATATATATATATATATATATATATATATATATATATATGACATATGTATTACCAGTAAGAAGAAATTAGTGCAATCATCTGGAAAACATTTACTTTACCTTGGAAAGGGCATACTTGAATATCTAGAATCAGAGAGTGTAAAGCTAGGTTTATACCCTAAGTTTATGAAAGTCTCTGCACATGAACTTTAGGAGACATGTACCAGAATGCTTACAGCAGAGCTCTTCATAATAGTTTCAATAACAAAATGGCAACAGCCCAAATAGGGAAAACTAGATCAATTGTGTTCTTTTTACACAATGAAATGCCCAGAAGAAACCAAAAATAATTAATTACATCTACATACAAACACAAATTTAATCTTAAAAATGCAATCTTGAATGAAAAACAAAATCTAGAAAGATGAATCTGAATGAGATGTGCTTTAAAAATAAAAGCAAGAGAAAGCAGTATGTTTTTTAGTAACATGCTGCAATGCAAGTACACTCTTCTTCAGTATTCATAGAGAATTAATTGCCTTCAGGATTGCTTGTAGCTGTTAAAATACATGAGTGCTCAAGTCTTCTGCAAACCATGCTGCATGGCCAGCAAGATGGCTCAGTGGTTAATGGTGCTTGCTGTCAAGGCTGAAGACCTGAGTTTGATTTCCCAGGCCCCACATGGTAGAAAGAGAGAACAGTTTTTCTCTGACTCCTAAATTTTTTTTCTCTAACCTCATCCCACTCGATGTACATACTCATATGAAAATAAATAAATGCAAATCTACATATATATGTAATTTAAAAAAATTAAAAGGTGCTTCAGTACCTTTTATGAAATCTTTACTCATTCTTCTGTGTATTTTCCTTTTTTTTTTTTTTTTTTGTGGGTTGTAACAAAGCTCAGGTTTATTTATAACTTGTTTTGTACCCTAGGCAGGCTTCCACCTTGGG